ACATTCTTCAAGACTACATCTCCCATCATGCATGGCCTCCAGCAAGCAATACTCATGTTACATCGTTGAAGACTACATCTCCCATCATGCATGGCCTCCAGCAAGCAATACTCATGTTACATCGTTGAAGACTACATCTCCCATCATGCATGGCCTCCAGCAAGCAATACTTATGTTACATTGTTGAAGACTACATCTCCCATCATGCATGGCCTCCAGCAAGCAATACTCATGTTACATTGTTCAAGACTACATCTCCCATACTGCATTGCTTCCAGCAAGCCATGATAAGGTTACAGTGTTCAAGACTACATCTCCCATAATGCATTGCTTCCAGCAAGCCATGATAAAGTTACAGTGTTCAAGACTACATCTCCCATAATGCATTGCTTCCAGCAAGCCATGATAAAGTTACAGTGTTCAAGACTACATCTCCCATCATGCATTGCTTCCAGCAAGCAGTGATAATGTTACATTGTTCAAGACTACATACCCCATCATGCATTGCTTCCAGCCAGCAGTGATAATGTTACATTGTTCGAGACTACATATCCCATCATGCATTGCTTCCAGCAAGCAGTGATAATGTTACATTGTTCAAGACTACATCTCCCATCATGCATTGCTTCCAGCAAGCAGTGATAATGTTACATTGTTCAAGACTACATCTCCCATCATGCATTGCTTCCAGCAAGCAGTGATAATGTTACATTGTTCAAGGCTACATCTCCCATCATGCATTGCTTCCAGCAAGCAGTGATAATGTTACATTGTTCAAGGCTACATCTCCCATCATGCATTGCTTCCAGCAAGCAGTGATAATGTTACATTGTTCAAGACTACATCTCCCATCATGCATTGCTTCCAGCAAGCAACAGCAAGCAATACTCATGTTACATTGTTGAAGACTACATCTCCCATCAGGCATGGCCTCCAGCAAGCAATGATGATGTTACATTCTTCAAGACTACATCTCCCATCATGCATGGCCTCCAGCAAGCAATACTCATGTTACATTGTTGAAGACTACATCTCCCATCATGCATGGCCTCCAGCAAGCAATACTCATGTTACATCGTTGAAGACTACATCTCCCATCATGCATGGCCTCCAGCAAGCAATACTTATGTTACATTGTTGAAGACTACATCTCCCATCATGCATGGCCTCCAGCAAGCAATACTCATGTTACATTGTTGAAGACTACATCTCCCATCATGCATGGCCTCCAGCAAGCAATGATGATGTTACATTGTCCAGACGTTGAGTTGTGGTTCAGAAGGCGGGCTCTGTGAGAGCGGTGACACCCTGAAGTGCACAGTCACGGGGCTGAGTGACACGTTGTCACTGAGGAAGTCCATCCTATGAGCGTCTCCGATGATCAATCCTCCGGCGGGTTATCGGGAGCGGCGACAGAAACTTCTGGAACCTCAACATAGAAATAGATTCATTTGTGGCCGCGGAGACCTTGGAAAGTGGAAGTCCACACGACTGGTAAACGCCGTCACACGCGTGTTTGGATGCCGCTCACATACAAACCTCCGCACACCAGCCGTGTTCGAAGTTTCCGGCAGCACAGGAAGTCTTCTCGTCACCCGAGACGGTTCCACGCGGATTGCTGCGCGGTCAGGGGTCGCCGAGGCGTCAACCAATCATTTTGTATTGGCGCCGCGCGGATCCACGCCATGATTCCGCACACAATCAGCCGCGCGTCGCCTACCGCCAGAACGACGTGCAGGGACCTTCTTTCCGCCGTTGCCGCGGCAACCACCACGCGATCTCGATAGTGGGAGGATCTGCAGGATGCCGGAATGGCGTCACACCGGACCTCACATACATACATACGTGTCACCGCCGGTCATGAGACATTCTACCATGGGGCCGCGCTCCCTCATACTGGACGGGAGGTGACAATGGTGCCCCCGGTGGGAGGAAGAGTCACGCCCCAGGACTGATGGCGCTGGGATAGGAGGGCTGCGTGGGGATCGGGGACTCGGCCCGCGACCTCTGAACTCTTATAACCATTTTACACGAATGGAGGAAACGTCTCTTCTGGAGTCTCCTCTGAATGAAGGCCGAGCCGTTCCCTACCCCCGGTCTGTGTATACGTGACAGGATATCCTGCCATAGTCTCTTACCTTTACTTCCTGTCCAGTGGTGACAACGCCCCCCCCCCCCTAGAGCAGTGTTGTCACCTTTAGATTTGCTCTCCGGCTGTGGAGTCCGCACATCACCCGCGCAGTGAATATCATGGCGGTCTATCAGGTGAAAATGTATTGGCCGGGTCACATCATTCACTCGAGGCGTGGAAAGCGTAGAGCGGCACCAACATGTGCAAAAAATCCGCTCGTCCGCCGGTCTGTGACGAGGGGACGGCGGAGCCCGACGAACCGGCAGCTTTACAATCCAGCGATCGGCGTCTCGAGACGTCCAATCGCTTGTATTAGCCGCTGTCACTGCCGTTCCCGAGAACCGCTGTGCCCGATGCGGCCGGCACGGCTCTGTGACAGGAGATCAGTACACAATCTCCCTCTGATCTCCTCTCAATCCCCGAATGCAGGAAGTGATGTGTATGACATCACTTCCTGTATATGACATCACTTCCTGCATTGCCACTCTCCAGCTACAGAAGCTGATGAAGCCGATCTCTGCTTCCATCAGCTTCTCTGGGGGGTCCCTTAGGTAACATTAGGGGGTCTTGGAGACCCCCTGATGTCTCCATAAAAAGAGGACCTGCCATGTCAATTGGCTATCACATAGGGGGCTTGTTAGTCCCTCCCATGTAATAGCAATAAAGTTGTGTAAAAAAAAAAAAAAAAAAGTAATTTTTTTTTTTTTTTAAATGCTTCTTTATTTTTTGTAAGTCCTCCGCCCCCCAATACACAGGCAGATATGCGTCGGGTGCGCCTACGCGCGAAAACGACAATTACGACTATTGTGCGCGCGCATGTTACATATGACCGCGAACGTCGCAGTGAGAGCGATAATTCTCGGGCCATTAATCACCGATAACACTAAACTGATGAGCGGTAAAATTATCTCTTATCTTTTGCGGGCGCGCGCAATTTTAAGGCTCGGCATGTTTGGTGTCTATTTACCCGACGTGACCCCGCCTTTTATTGTGCCGCCCCAATGGGGCATGGAAGTTTTATATAGATGAGAATTTATATAGATTGTTTTCTCCATACCATTTTCCTATGGACGTTTCTATAGTTAGTTATATGCTGCCATCTAGTGGCCTTTTGTGGTAGTGTATGTATTTTTCAATGTTGCCTTCCCTGATATCTCTGAGGTCGATGACACAGTTCCTCTTTACCTAAGCCCCACCCTTCTTCCTGAGTGCAGTACTTCCTGTGTCATGGCCACAGCTAACAGGCCACATGTAACAGGGACACATGTACTCTGCACAGTACGCTAGAAAAGGCATCATTTTTTGACCGCACAATACTATAACCATCCATCTGCTGTTACATCCGTCTGCTGTAACCTTGATGTTCAGAATAAAGCACCCCTTTGAATGAATCGGTATTGGTGAGTTCAGCTATCTGACAAGGCAGGCCGGGCATAGAGGTCTCAGCAAGGGATATATCGCTATCACAACAATCGGAGTCAGAATATTTATATTTTACCAAAAAATACGGGTGATAATAAATGTTTTATAACATAACGGAGGGAAACTGTTTTTTTTAAAACATTTATGGTACTTTTTTCATTATATAGTAAATAATAACCCCTCCCCCTCCCCCCATATCGGCAAAAGAAAGCTCTATCCGTCCCCAAAATGTTTTAACATAAATTGCAAGGCCTGCAGTCCGGTCATGTGACTGGCGAGACACCCTGCCCATACGTGTGAAGACAGTGCCGCGGGGCCTCAGCGTACACGGTAAGGACACTTGGTGTGGTGCATTGTGGGTAATGATGGACAGAGCGGAGGCGTGACACACACACAGAAGAAGAAGAGGAGGCGGAGCTCTGGGAGTTTATAACAAGATTTATTAGCTATAATACAAGTCACATTAAAGGCCCTTCGAAGATTTCCTCCAATTGCAGCGAGCCAACTGGCGGCGATACGATTCCGGGGCGTCGGCTTCTCATGCACAAAATGACCCCGAGCCCCTCCGGCACAACCAACAGACAGCGACATACAGGACAGGAAATAACCGCGCGCATCCCCGGTGCCCCCCCCCCCACACAAAATCGGGGGCCCGCGGGGGGGGGGCAGAAGACCCCCACCACAAAAATAGTAGAAGACCCCCCACCACAGGGACATGATCGAGGGCCCGGGGGGCTAGTAGAAGACCCCCCACAACATGGACATGATCGAGGGCCCGGGGTGGTAGCAGAAGGCCCCCCACCACAGGGACATGATCGAGGGCCCGGGGGGCTAGTAGAAGACCCCCCACCACAAGGACATGATCGAGGGTCCGGGGGGGCTAGTAGAATGCCCCCCACCACAGGGACATGATCGAGGGCCCGGGGCGGTGGTAGAAGGCCCCCCACTACATGGGACATGATTGAGGGTCCGGGGGGCTAGTAGAAGACCCCCCACCACACGGACATGATCGAGGGCCCGGGGGCTAGTAGAAGACCCCCCACCACAGGGACATGATCGAGGGCCCGGGGGGCTAGTAGAAGACCCCCCACCACAAGGACATGATCGAGGGTCCCCTTCACCTTCACATCACACTGGCTCCTTTCACATCACATAACCCGACCAGGCGAGACTGACCAACCAGCGCCGGGGGCCCATCAGAACAAACACACGACAGACCCAGAGAGGGGGGGGCAGATAATACCGCAGTCCTGTCTGTAAGTGCGCACTACATACGAGTCTAGAACATTCCGTCTTCCTTCCCATCTACATCAGGCAGATCCGTGTCACATCTCTCCTGAGGCTATGAACACTCTACGCAGAAACATACGTGACACCTTTCAGGTCTAACATACAAGTCCGTCTAAAGACACGCAATCCCGCCCCCCCCCACGCATCGGAGACAAGGTCAGTTCCTAGGAAGAGGCGGTTTGATTGCGTCAGCGGGACGGGGAATGTTCAGACGCGGTAGACGCTGGTAGAAGAAGTACGCACACTGGTGGATGAAGAGCTCGATGATTGTCTGGTAGGTGCGGGTGGCGGTCAGAGCGTCCATGGTGGTAAAATCCGGGCGCATCAACGTGGGCCAGAAGCAGATGGACAGGTTCTCGCTGGTCATCAGGTTGGTGTGATGGTGCTGACTGACCCTGAGGAAGAGACGAGGAGAAGGGCGGTGAGCGGAGAAAATACGAATGGTGCTTACTGTAATATAATATCTTTTTAAAGTCTATTGGAATTGCATTGGAGAGCGATATGGCGGGAATTACCGTGCGATAAATCGCTCTATGTGAACGCGGCCTTAGTGACGCCGATCCTGCAGCAGTTCCGGATTCAGCCGTCACTAAACGTTTTCTGATTGTTACAACAACGATCAGAAAACTGAAACATTGTATCAGAAATAGAGACATTACGTGTCCATTATGTATCTATTCCTGAAAGTGAAAGAAAAAAAAGAAAAGCCCGGATACTATGGAGAGAGAGAGATACGATGGAGAGAGAGAGATACGATGGAGAGAGAGAGAGATACGATGGAGAGAGAGAGAGATACGATGGAGAGAGAGAGATACGATGGGGATCTATGACAGGGCTCTGCATGCAATGACGGGGGGGCCTCCATCATCTATGAGAGGACCAACCACCTGCAGCAAACAGAGAGAGCTTCCTGCGAGGAGACCCCGCCCATAAGGCAATATCATGGGACAGCCGTCTATCAGGATTGGCTCCTCCCACTGGCCCCGCCCCGAGTGACGGCGCCATGGCGTTGAGGAATAAACGTACCGATTCAGGTGAGAGATGACGTATTTGAAGAGCTCCTGGTTCTCCCTCGGCAGCTTCCTCAGCAGCTCCTTCATCGCCTGCAGCTTCTGCTCCAGGTCATTGATTTCTAGAGAACAAGAAAACACGCGTGTCAGGTACAACGGGGTCACCGCGTGTTACACGGGACCGGACATAGAGCAACACGTGACGGAAGCCGCTACGCGGACGCCTGAGATGGTTCCCCCCGGCACCGGGTCCCTCTAGGACAGGGATGGCCCTCCAGCTGCGGGTGAAACTACAAATCCCATGATGCATCTCTCTCCGGGAGTCGTGGCTGTGAGAATGTTGCAAAGCCTCATGGGATTTGTAGTTCCACCCACAGCTGGAGGTTGCTGACCCCTGCTCTAGGAGGACGAGGTTGATGAGGGAGGCCGGGGAGCAGAGGAGGAGGCCGGGGAGAAGAGGAGGAGGCCGGGGAGAAGGGGAGAAGAGGAGGAGGCCGGGGAGAAGAGGAGGAGGCCGGGAGCAAAGGAGGAGGCCGGGGAGCAGAGGAGGAGGCCGGGGAGGAGAGGAGGAGGCCGGGGAGCAGAGGAGGAGGCGAGCAGAGGAGGAGGCCGGGGAGCAGAGGAGGAGGTCGCTCGCTACGGGCGGATCTACTTACTGTACGCGTCCACCAGCTCGGCCTGGAGAACATACGGCACCAACGGGTCCGGCAACTCGGCAAAGAAACTCTTCAGGGCCCCGGCCACCGTGTTCACCGTGAAATCCTTCTCAGCCAGGTCCAGGTGATGATCTGGGAGGATAAAGGTCAGTGTGAGGAACCCCCCCCAAAAAAATAAGCTGTCCCGTTGAGCGGATCACCCTC